AAGCGGCTGGGAGGGTGGCAGGGCACCGCGGTTCCTTTGGCAGAGCGATCCGTATCCTGCCTTCACTTCTCTCGCAGCAGCTCCTGCGTCTCTTCAGCCAAGACTCGAGAGTTTCCAGTGAAGCAGGGAGATCTGAGGACAGGGCGTCGGGTCGTGGGTTTTTTTTTTCTCCAAACTAGTTAAAAAGCTTTAATGCCGATAGTAATAAAACCTGTTTCTGTAGTGGGGGTAGATGGAGTAAGTTCTGGAAGAGGGGCTGATGAAATCACTAGGGCGTGGTTGGCTTGCAGTGTCGTTCCCCACCGAAGCCCTTTAGTGTCTGCCCGTGCTCGCAGGCTTCACTGTTGCAGCGCTCGGCTAGGAGTGCCCGTGTGCTGTTGCGTAACCCAGCAGAGCTCAGCGGCCGGTCGCTGCCTCCCTGGGCCTGCTCTGGCCCTGTTTTGCTGGCTCGCCTTGCCACATCTTTTCTTTTTTTCAGCGCTGAGTGAGGAGTGCCTTCCCTCTCCTGCATCCCAGCAGGGACATTCTTAGCTGCTGCCTGAGGCTGCAGTCCTGCTGCCTAAGCAGTTGGCTTACGCAGCTGTCCAGAGCTCAGACCAAGGCTAGGCTCCCTCTTCCTTCATTCACCAACGCTTTATGGTGGCTATATTAAGAGTCTGAAGGCAGATCTGTTAAAAGCACAGCCTAAATAGAGTTGTAAGTCTCCTCAGCCTTGTGTGATACATGGAGGTGGGAAAAATATTTAGGATTTATTGAAGCTAGAATATACCAAACCATTGCCAGGTTTTTTTGCTTTCTCCCTCCCTTTGCTTTTTTTATGGCTTGTTTAAAAACTGAAATGGTCGTGAGAGTGAAAGGACCTGAGAAGAGCAGGCTATGAAGTGCTAATCAGTGCTGGCTGCAGCAGACAGCTGCTGTAGCATAAAGGGAGGTGGGAGCTGCTTCAGTCTCTCTGCATGACCACCTCTTCTTTTCTCCCTAACCTTCACGTTGTCACCGACACTGTTCTGTTTGTCAGAACAGCTAGAACTTGAAGTAAACATTCTCTTAACAGCCACGTGCTCTGACCTCTAGCTTGTTGCTGTAAAACTACAGAAGGCTGTGGCTGTGGAAGATAAGAGTAGCTGATTTTCTTTCTCATGTAGTGTTTCTATAATTTGCTGTGAAAGGCTGTGAGAATCCTTCTCTTGGTGCTTGGGCTGCTCCTGTACCACGAGCAAAGGGTCTAAGCAGAATCTGGTATTACATGTGATCTCTTTAGAAAGCTGCATGGAACCATCTTGCTCCTTTAGGACCAACAGTAACTGGTGTTATTTCTCTTCTCTTGTAGGTCCACTTGGTTGGTATTGATATCTTCACTGGTAAAAAGTACGAAGATATTTGCCCATCAACTCATAACATGGATGTTCCAAATATCAAGAGGAGTGATTACCAGGTGAGTTAACAGTCACTGTGTTCTCCCACACATTAAAAGGCTTTATACTCCAAGTAACCCGTGTAAACTCTCATCCCACTTGCCTGTCTATACATGACTTTGCTGAACTCATAGTAGCATTCACTGAGTTCTTCAAACTATTGTAGCTCACTGGTGGAGAGCTCCTTATTGTACTAACAACCTCATGTTATAGAAATGACTGGTAACAGGCATAATTCAGAATAGCATTTTTTCTAGCTCATGTTGTAAGGTCACTTCTTTATTCTTTGTGATATTGGCATCCCTTAAAATATGGAGAGAGTTTATCCCTGCTGCCAGTTGTTATTAATTAAAGGATAATCAAGATCTCACTTCAAGAATATTTGAATCTGAGCATACATTGTCATTTAGAATTTCACCCTTACATAGGGCAGATAAACCAACAAGACATTCTTAAGCTGCATCTGATACCAGCTCTAACTTGCTACCATGCTTTCTCCTCCTTGTGTGGAAACTGGCTGTAGTTGATCTCAAGCAATTTTGGTGCTCCTGAGGTCTGCTCTGAAATATTTGTATGGAGGGAACTTGGCAGGCTTCTGTAATTTCTGTAATGTCTTCTGCTCTTAAAAGCAGCACAATTCAGGATCTGAGTTGCAGTGTGTCAGCTATTGTCCCGTTGTTGGGAGTAGTTCTGGTCAGGAACTGACACATCCATATCAGTTGGAAAGCTGCAGTTGCTTGAGAAAGCCAAAGTTCAGAGTGTTGGCAGCTCTTCAGGACAGCTCATGCTATTTAAATGAAGCCTGACTGGCCTGTCTTAGGCCTCAGACCTTCCAAGAGATTCTTAATGTTGGCTTAGTGATCTTTCTCTTGGGTTCTTATTGCTACTGAAATTCTTGCTGTTTATCAGACTTGTTAGGGCTGCCTTTTGGGTTTCCTGGTACCTGTTCCAGGTCCTAACCTGCTCTGTCAAAACAGGTGTTCGTTCCTCTTAGCTTAGGATATTGGTTGGGCTGAAAACAGCATTATAAAAGTGGTCCAGAGCTTGGTGGATGTTCCCTAATTTATTCATTAGCCTTTAATATAAATAGTTACAGTATCTCATTGTACAGATGAAGATATAGAAGTGTAAGGTTCAACCAGTAGATACTTTGTGCACTTTAGGAAAGCAGTGCTGCTCAGAGAACACCATTCCAGTTATTGTTTCTAATTCCCAGGTGTAAAAAGCTGAAGCAGTGATCTGGTAGGAGTGTATTTTCCAGCTCCCAAGGTTTTGGGTTTTGCAGTGCCCCACATACTAGGAACTAACCAACAGGCTTCTAGTGATTCTTGATAGCAGGCTGGCTTTTGCTACCTTACCTCTAACTCTGTCCTCTCAACTAGTTAAAAATTGACTTAAATTAGGTTCTTAACTGTTACAAACAGTACTAAGGAATTAATGTAACAGGTAGAGTTCACTGTGCCTTCTGCTTATCTTCAGCTACTGCCCACTAGTGACTACTGATGTTAAAACTTCTCTTTGCAGCTGATAGGTATTCAGGATGGGTATCTCTCCCTGCTGACAGAAAGTGGTGAAGTTCGTGAGGATCTAAAGTTGCCAGAAGGGGATCTTGGCAAAGAAATAGAAGGAAAATTCAATGCCAATGAAGATGTGCAGGTAAGTAGAGAGGGCACACAGGAAGACTTATGGTTAATTTCACTGGATTATACAGTGAGGAAATCTTATTCTGATATTGAACGCTTGTGTCTCTCTGTGAAGAGCGGGTTAGAAGCACAGGAATTGTGCTTTTGAGATGTAGAAGGACTTTTATACTGGAGCACTCAATATGGCCCTGAAGCCCAGCTCAGTTGACACTGAGGTGATGTGAGTGTCTCTCACATGTCTAGATAAATCCTATCAGTGCTGTCCACATGGATTGGAGCCTCCAGGCGTTCCTAATTGCAACTGAGTGTAGGACATTGTGATGTAGTTTAATATACTACATTAGCAAACCTGTCTGGCCAGTAGCTCTGCAGACCGTAGTCTGTGCTGGGCCACACCAGTTGCTAGTTTGGCTCTGTCACAGGAGCTTGTTCACTTCCTCTGTTGCGTGAACCTCGAGCTGCCAGCCGAGGCAATGCGGCAAAGAGCAAATTGGTGGGAAGGGCAGATATTGTGGAGATTCTTCTAATGACTGACCAGCTTCAGCTTCCTCAAGAGAGATCAGATAGATATTAAAATGTGCATGTCTGTTAACATCTAGAAATACTTCCTCTGGCATGGGCTGGAGCTCACCTATCTTGTCTTTTCTTCCAGATATCCGTCATAAGTGCAATGAATGAAGAATGTGCTGTAGCCATAAAGCCTTGCAAATAAAGAGGATCGCCAGGCTCGGGCAACTGCTCAGGTCTGGAGAAACCACAGATCTATAAATTTGGTTCTTATTGTCACCAAAGCTCTGGCCTTCACAAGCAACCTCATTTCTTTTTTTGAATTGTTAAAAAAGCAGTGCTGGATTCTGGAATTAGTGTTGCAGGCTAACTGGCAGTTTTCAAAATCACTGAGATTTTAATTCCTTAATTGTTAACTATTTTAACATTCCTGTGGGTTTCAGCTATGGATCTAAGAAACCAATCAGGTGTTACTAGTGGATATATTTTTATTTGCTTGAGCAAAACAGTGTTTGTCTGTATGAACAGACAAAATACAGTATTCAGGGGCTTTTAGATAAGCTGGTAGGTATCTAGGATTATAAAGCAACCTAGAGCACAAATAGTATTTTTCTTGACATGTTTAGGTAGAACTGACAATAAAAGTAGCAATTTCTTTTTTCCTTTTTTAAAAAGCTTAAGTATTTTGTGGATTGGGACTCTTGCAGAACTGTAGGTGCCAATCTCAACTTTTAGACCATGAAACTCAAGTGATCAAAAATGCCAGCTGGCTTAACCAAGCCCCAGTGGCCATGTGCAACTTAACTGTATTACCTCTGTATTCTTCTTTGCCAACTTGTTGGCTTATTGTAATGATAAAATGGTGTCAAAGCCTACCCGTGGTTTAGGCAGGCAGTTGGAATATTGGGTAGATAAGACATAGATAGGTCAAGGGGACACAAAGGTGAGAATGGATGTTAAAGCTATAGACTTTCACTCGAGGCCTTTGTCAGACTTGAAAAAAAAAATAAAATAGAAAAATGCAGTTCAATTGCTTTCCTTTATCGTATTTATCTTAAACTATAGAAGGGTGACAAACTCCGTGGAAATCTGATGCAGTGCTTCCAGCTTTAGCTTTTAATCTTCAGGTTCAGACCATATTTTTGTAGCACAGGGACCACGTTTTTCAAAAAGTGGGACAAACTGTAGTATTGAGCGTCAACTAAATGCATGTGATTCTTTTTTTAAAAAAACAACAAACCAGAACTATTGTATTTTCAAAATACAGACTTGACAGACAATACTGAACAACCATGGCTTAATTATAAAAGTAAATACATTGCTAGGTAGTTATGAAAGCCAACTCCTCTCCAAGGGAGTTCTGAGTCACTGAAACATGTGCATGCCTCTGACTAGTTAGTACCTTAACAGGCAAACGCAAGGCTTCACAGAACTAGTCATGGAAGGATAACTAGCCTACTCCCCTTTAAGGCATTCAACTTGAATTCTAAGACTTGGTGACTCTTCATGAGTGGGAAATTTCCTTAGCCTGTGCCTCAGACCTCTCCTCACAGTTGATAAATTGTTTCATGAACTTGCCTTAAGCTTCAGTGGCTGTTGGCTAATGGAGGACAACTGGTAAACGCGTGGCGTGCTGGCCTGGACAGCACACATAATTCACGCTCTTGGCAGCAAGGGGCAGATGTCACGCTGCTGTTAAGTGCTTAAAATGTTTTCAGCTTAATATTTGTACTCTTTTTTATCCCCAAAGAGCTCATGGCAACTGTCCTGAACTGCCCTCGTACATACTGTGACAGGGCGTAGCAAATCTTGGAGGTGTAATGTAGATGGCAAAACCAATGCATTTTCCATAGAGTTACTCACGACAGGGAGAGCAGTACAGGGGAGGTAAAGACAGCAATAAATATACTCTGGTAATAAAGCACAGTTACCTGGGACACCTGGCAGAAGCAGGATACTGCCACACGCTCTTGCCTAGCACAATGCGTATTGCAGGTGAACTCCATAAATGGCACCTTGACTGAAAACAGCAAAACTGCTTTAAAAAACCCAAAAAGCTGTAGATGCAAGAGGGCAAAATGTATTGAGAACAGTTTTGAAGTGCACACTCAATAGTTCAAACTGGTCTGCACTGTGCTCCTTTCTGCCTCTCTGTTGGACTCCTGTTCTGAAGGACAGGATTTCTTGGTTTTGGAGGGGACTCAGAAACCGTCGACGATGGTCTTGGCAGCAAAGTGAGCTGTGTGATGTCAGATGGGAAGTCACAGGTCGCTGTGTCAAACTAATGCAAGTTCTAATGCCAGTGCTGCATTGCACATACTTCTATAATACGCTTGAAAACAAGAAGACTTGGATTTCTGCTTGTTCAGGTAGTGCTGTAGTCTACTTCAGGTGCCTGCCTGTCCTCTAAAAACCTTGTTGGAAGACAGGTGTTTGATGCCACTGGCCCACAATCCAAGCGTTCACTTAGACCATAAACCCTCTGGGATGAGGGCTGGGTTTTGTCCTCTTTCTACAAGTGGGGGTCCTGGTCTCACTGGAGTTTTCAGGTACTACATAAATCTAAAAGAGTGAGGTTTTATGTCCTCCAGTTTGCTGATAGAGCCCTCCTTGGGACGTATGGATGTCCTGCTATCGCAACCTTCAGTTCTGCAAGATTCCAACAAGATTAAGTACTTCACTATAGGTTTGTTCTTAATATACTTAGTTGTCTTCTTTTTCTGAAAGCACTTCGACCACTATGGAAGTGCAGAGCATTGGCTTGTCATGCATGAAGTTTCCCATAGGTAATACATAGCATGAGTCTTAAGCATAATCTCCAATTTTCAGTAAGATTTAACAGTTGCTTCTAAATTAGAACATGTAATTGAGGCGTTTTTGGGTTTTTTTTTTCCCCAAAGTAATGTGTTTCAGTTTACTGTCAGAATCGTTGGCAACAAACTTTGTGATCAATAGTCCATATAGATGTGTATTTTTAAGATCCTTAACCAAATGCTTAGGGAATTTCTCCTCTCGTAGCTTTACTTTAAAACAAATCTTACCAATGTACTTGTTCTGTAGTACTGTCTTAACACTTAAATCGTGTCAAAACCGAAAACTTAAGAAACTTCTAATACCTGAAGGCAATTGCTTAGAGTAAAGGGTGTGAAAACCAGGAGGTGAAAAATAGTATTTCCACTCCAAATAATACAATTTTTTTTTTTATGGCTCTAATTCATTAAGTTTCTCTTACTACTTTACAGAATTGGAAAGACTGCAGTATTTCCTGCTATAAACCTTGGCAAATTATACTTTAAAGATTTCAATAGATCCTTCTAATTTTTTTGCTTATAATGGTGGTTTTTCGACTAGGCTCTTACTAGTTGAGCCATGTTCTCAGGGCTGTTTTTTTTTTTTTAAGAAGTTAGCTGAATTTCATTGCTTTAATGTAACTGCTTTCAAGCCTCTTGCAGGTTTTTTTTTGTAATCCACAACGTACCCAGAACGGTGCACAGTCTGTAGCTTCACAATACAGGTAATTTTACAGAATCTGTAACAAAATCTTAATTTGTTGATGGTTCAAATCTCTTATGGTTAACTGCAGGTCAGTCTCACAGAAGTCAAAATTCAATAAATCCCACTTCTTTTTTTTTTTTTGGAGTTGAGTTGAATAATGTAGGGTGTAGTTTGTTACAGTAGAACTAAACTTCAGGAAAAGGAAGAAGTAAAAAAACAAAGACCATGTTGAGGATATTTTGAGTATCTCACTTGTACACTGAGAATATTAACGAAGGTGCAGACCCGGGGGTGTTGGGGTGGGTGTGTGGTGGAGCGTTCGGTGTGGTGCGTGCACCGAGAGCATGGGGAATCTCTCCAGCATCCTCAGTCTGACCCCTTGGCTGTTTGGCAGCTTGAGAGTAACTGGGTTTGTGAATTTAAAACAAAAACAAAAGGTTTGCTGTGTAGCACTGTGTCGCAGAACCATTCCCGGTTGTCCTGTGTGTTCCGTGCGGCTTTTAAAAACGCGAGGGAGGGGGGAAGGAATGATGGTGATGACTCATTTTTACTGATTCTAACAAAACCCAAACCCTGTGTTACAAATCATGTGAGTGGGGACGGGTGGTTCCAGCCCTCCGTTTTGGGGCAGTCGGGTTGTTTTGGAAGCTGTATTGTTCTCAACACCCTGCAAACGGTCGGGG